CAATAAACCTTTCCTCCTTTAACTCTGGGTGCCAGGTATCTTGTCTCAGTGATGAGAAAAGTAACTGAGACAGTAGTGCACACCTGTCATCCCGACACCCAGCATGCTGAGGCAGGAGGATCAGTCCAAGATTGAGGCCAGCACGGGCTAAGCAGCAAAACCTGTCTCAAACACAAAACAAAACCAACCACAGGATCCAGCACCTCTGGGCCCCACCTGGATGTGAGGGCAGCTGCCTACTGAGGCAGGAGCCACACAGCCACAGGCTGCTGCAGGACCTAACTACCTGGACCCACATATGAGCTTATGACCCTGCTTAAAGCAGTCGGATCTGGACGAGGAGCAAAGGCGCCTGCAGGCACCACAGTGGTCTCTGGTGACAGAGCCAGGCCAGACCACCGCTGCCTCAGACACAGGTTCTGGTCTCAGCCGCGGGTGCTGCCGTAAGGAGCAGGCCAGTCAGACCCTGGGCTCAGCGCACAGACAGCGGCTCACGGGGCAAGTCAGTGCACTCACAGGGCAGAGCCAACCGCAAATACACGGAGAGAACCCACGAGGCGGGGTCTGGTGACCAACGAGGTCAGCGAGGGCTTCGGCAACCAATGCTCCCCAGTGCGGGTGTGGGTGACAGGAAGGAGTCAGATCCAGGTTCGAACTCCCACTCCTGTCCTTCACCAGAGCTCCTCCCTCTCATGGAGGGAGCAAGGGTGATGACGTCAACCTCAGTGGGCCGTGCTGAGGAGGTTGCGGTCTCACCACGCAGGCCAGGATGGCCTAGAGCTCATGGAGATCCTCCTGCCTCAGCATCCCCAGTTTTAGGATCACAGGTGAGCACCACCAGGCCTGGCCTTGAACCTTTAAAGAGTATGGAAACTTAACCCAGCTAAGATGTTAAGCTGGGGTCTGGGAGGTGACGAGGACCAGACAGGTCATGGGGGGGAGCCTCATGTGGGAACCACTAGTGGCTTTACAGAGGGAGGCAGACCAGAAACGCAGTCACGCACTCCGCCCCCGGCCACAGGCACCCTGGGCCACCTGGCACAGAGCAGAGCAAACCTCTCCTTGATACACCCCGCCTGCGGCCCAGAGTCCAACAACGGAAAGCAGAGGATGCCCCTGCCGGTGCCAGCGGCTCTGTGCCCACCCTCTTGTCCCCTCCCTCCCACCCTTCCTTTCTCTTATGAGCAGGGTCTCATCTTGCCCAGACTGGCCCTCAACTCCTAGGCTTGAGTGACCCTCCTGCTTCAGCCTCCCCAGGAAGGGGGCACAGCTGCACACCACTGCCTGGGCACTCTCCTCTTCTTACGGACACCAGCTGTGGTGCAGTGAGACCCTCACTAATCTGGTCAATCTAATCTTATCCACAGAGATCTTGTTTCCAAACAAGGCTACCGAGGTCCCAGGCAACAGAATTCCAGGGGGACACAATCCAGCCCAACACACACCCACTCTCTTAACCATTCACACTGACACAAGAGATGAGGAAAAGAAATCCTATTCTGTAGTTTAGACCTTTTTTTTTTTTTGAGACAGGGTCCCATTATATACTTCAGGCTGGCCCTGGACTCACTCACTACACAGCCCAAGCTGGCCTCGAATTCAGAGTGATCCTCCGGCCTCAGCCTCCCAAGTGCTGGGATGAAAGAAAGACAATGGCTTTTTTTTTTTGTAACTGGGACGGAACTCAGGACCTTGTACTTGTGAGGCAGGTGCGGTGCCACTGAGCTAAATCCCTGACCCTTAGAGTTACTTGACCTCAACTTTCTCCATTAGCAGAAAAAAACAACAACAACAACAAAAAAAACTACACTTAAGTATTAAGCCACAGGGCTGGGGATCTAGCTCGGTAGCACCGTGCCTGCCTCTCAAGCGCAAGGTTGTTTGATCCCCAGGTTAAAAAAAAAAAAAAAGATTAAGCCACAAAAACCCCCACAGGACTGGGAGTATAGCAGCCAGATGCAGGGCTTGGATTTAGCAGTGCAAGGCCCCTGGGTTCGGTTCCTAGCGCTGTAAGAAAAAGAAGACTGCCAAGCAGCACACGCGCACTTGTCACCGGCCAGGAGCGCCCACAGCAAGATGTGCAGCCAGTTCCTACAAAGGCCTGGAGCAGATTCTGAGCAGGCACTGGTACATACGGAGCCGGAGCCCCGGGAAGTCGGCAGCACACGCTGCCTGGGAAGCAGACGCAGAGGTCCGGGGTCCTTCCGGTTGGCACGTGCCCAAATACTGGCGCTTCGTGTGCCGTGGACGCCCTGCTCTGGTGGTAACCGTAGGCAGCAGAACCCAAGAGGCCTCAGTCGAGCCCCAGGTTCACATTACCCAAGCTCACACGGCACGAGGGGGCAGGTGGCGAGGCCTTTCCCACACACGCCACGCCATGGCTGGCGCTCACCACATTCCCCAGGGTCCCGCTCCCTTCTGCAAAAACACCAGGGCAGGCCTCCTCGCCTCCACTTCCTGTCAATGGCGCCCCACAGCCTGTCCACACAGGCTTCGCCCTCCGCTCCCAGCTGGGACTCTCCCCCAAGCCCTCAGGGGCCAGCCCTCCTCTGCGCACCCCACACACACAGTGGGTCCGGAGTGGACGTCTCAGCACCACTCGACCCCATCTGCAACTGCTGCACTCTCGCATGTTAAATAAAAAGCTCCCTGGTGTACACCGGTAATCCCAGAACTCGGGAGGCTGAGGCAGGGGGATCACTGTGAGTTCGAGACCAGCCTGGGCTACATAGTGAGTTCCAGGTCAGTCTCAACTACATAGTGAGACCCTGTCTCCAAAAATAAAAAAATAAAAAAATAAAAAATATATATATTATCGATGATGAAGGTGATCACTACGTGTATCTAAAATGTACCAATAAAATTAATTTTTAAAAAGGACCATCCTGGACTACATAGTAAGTTCAAGGCCAGGCTAAACTACATAGCAAGACTCAGTCTCAAAAAACAAAAGAGAGAAAGGTCAAAAAAGAAGGAATGTGAGAAATCTGGGAAAACCAGAATGATGGAAAGTAATAAAAGTAAATTAAAAATGAGAAAGACTCCTTTCCAATTAAAAAATTAAAAATGGGAATAAGGAAATGGGGGCGGGCAGAATTAGCCACTAGGTGATGGTTGTTGAGGTCACATGACATGCGATTCTTGCGCTGGTGCACTTTAAATCCCCCATGATAATTACTTTAAAAGATCAATGCATATTCTGGATACTCAGTGACCTCCTCAGTTTGGGTCTCTAACCTGATCAGGGTCTATTTCAATCTCAAGCAAAACAAAACAATCGAATGCTGCTGCTCCAATGGACTCTCTCCTAGTGACTTTACTTTCCTCGGGCAAGATGTCAGAACATTTAAGAGAAGAAAACAACTCCAGTATTGATTCTAGAATGAGCACAATGATATTTATGAAACATGTTACCAAGATAGAACCATTAAGTAATTTAGCACAACAGGGAGAAATGAATCACTAGAATTACACAAATTCAGTTTGCTTCCACCACTGAGGTTGGTAAAATTTTCTACCTACAGACACTGAGACGCTATCTAATGATGCCAGCCACGTGGTATTTTGATTCTGGACGTGTAGAAAGAGTACTGAGCTCAGAGCCAGACGCCAAGGCCCTGGCGTGTCCCACTGACAGCTTTGTCTCTTATTTATAAGCTGTATGAATTCAGCTCATTTCCTAAAGACTCAAAATCAAAAACTATATAATGGCAGAATCTTAAAGACCAGGAGTGGGGGTGCGTGTGTATCTGTGCGCGCCTGTTTATTTTTGTTTTGAGGAGGAGTGTCCGGTTATGTTGCCCAGGATAGCCTTGAACTCCTTCCTGCGCCTCCCAAGTGGCTGGGGTTAAGAGGCATAAACTACCACCCCTGGCTTCTGGAATTCATGTGGGAGTCGGGACCCATAGATAAACTTCACTGGGCATATAAAGCCTGAGAACGTTCTGTCTATATTTCAAACTACAAATAATTTCTATAGCTTTTAGCAGATTATCAAAAGGAACCAAAATTCAACTGTCTTCCTGTGGTTAAGAACCACTTTCAACAGAATAATTTTTTAAATTGTAAACAATCAAAGCCGATACCCAAAGTGTGGTTGCATGAATCTGGTCAGACTTTTAATTCTAGATCTGCAAAATACTCTGCCTTCACAAAATACCATGCTTCGTGGTGAACAGTACGTGCTTTTACAAGACAAACTCCTACAATCCCACAAACTTGTTTTATGAAACGCGTATTATGAAAGTAACGTACTAGACTCTGAGTCATTACGATGTACTTTTCTATTCCCCGACATGTTAACCTGCTGAATCACCTGGAGGTTCGTATTCAGCCTTCCAGGACCTTCAATTGTTAGTTACAGTATAAAGCAAGATTCTAGGCCTACCCCAAGTTTCTCTTTTTTGTTGTTAGAAACGTATTTCAAACCAGGCTTGCAATGTCTCCTGGGAATTCTGCAGCGGGAGCCCTGACCGAACCCGGAAACTGAGGCTAAGGTTCATCAAACCCTAAAATCGCCGGGTACCAGCGCATGCAAGCGCGGAGACCGCGGACGGGGAAGCTGGGATGAAGCCGAAGGTGAGGAGCAGCAAGAAAAGCGACGT